GCCAATAAAAAGGCCTCGCTAAATTGAAATTTCCGTGACGTCAGTACTTATAATATATGGCGTGGGTTATCATTTTGACATAAAAAAATTACTAGCATTCTTAAGAAAGAAAATATCCATAGGAAGCAACCAAAAGAAAGTTCAATCATACAATGATGCGTATTCAGTCAACAGAATTAAAGCTGTGTTTGCATGTTATCGTTAAAAGATAAACTACGGTTGTCAATTACTATCATTATCTTTTCAAGATAAAGTTTATATTTCTTTATTTGCTTAACTTGTCTATCGTCTTAGAAAAATTATTGCTAAGTTCCTTTTAAATTTTTTTGGCAAAACACCATAAAGATATACTCTAAAGTTCAACGTTAGTTTTGATATTGTGTAGATTATCTCAGTTATTTCCAAATCGGTATATTTTTAGTGATAAAAAACGATAACAAATTCACCTCTTTGTTGAAATTCTTGCAGAGTTGTGCATTCTAATATTCAAATTTTCCTGAGAGACAAAATTACAAGGCTTTTTCTTTCTGTGTGCGACTTTGATTTATCCATCGAGGATGTCAGGTTTGGTTGGATCGCAACAGGTTTGATACGAAATTAGGCCTGCCATGATGAAGAATTTTGAAGCAATAGCACCTCGCTGTATAATAAAAGATTTGATTTTTCCTTCAAGGGTCACCAACGCTTTACACTGGTGTGGGAAATTTTGCGCAAACTTAACGATTAAAATTATCCGCCAGTTTGGTAAACATGGATCTATTTGAAAGGACCAGCTTATATGTGAATGTCAACAAAGTTGAAATTACATTCGAAGACTGCACTTAAAGATGCCAACGGGAGAGAAGGGATTATTATTCAAGTTAACGATTCGGGTTATGATAGCTTCCACTGAGCTAACATAGTGGGGATCTACAACCTGTTACCATTGCATGCAAAATATAGCTTCAGTTTCAAGTGTCAAAGCTTTTCTCCAAGGCTAATAACTTGCCAATATTTAGCAACCAGGGAGGGGTATACTCAACCACTAAGATATAAAGGGTGCGCTATATCACCCTTCTAAGCAATCATCCTTAACATTGAATCTGCCACCTTCTATGCTTGTTTTCGAGAACTTTGTTCCAAACATCAACCCTCTAATACAGTATTCTCCCCGTTCGAAAAAAAACCGTCAAGATTCCCATAGCTTAAATCCAAGGTACCCTTTGCCCGAATTCAAGAAATCGAGAGGCAGTATTTAAAACATTGAGAATTAGTCGCTTTTTCGACAGATCATTTTTAATGGCAGTTATCAGGCCATATAGTACCTTTATACCCCGAGTAACGCGCGTAACAGACATCACCCCTATAGTTTTACATCTTTAGTCACCCAGTCATATCGATTTTTACATTGACATTGCTTTGGCTATAACCAGTTACCAATGTTGTGGAGATATACAACGCTCCTGCCTTTAGTGTTTTGTAACATCATATTTATTTCGTAAACAAATTTATTTTGTTAGACAACACTCTAGTTGCTATCGAGCAGGACCTCCTCTCAAAAGGAACCGAGTAGTATCATAAAAAAATGGTTTTGTTGACTATTGCGATAGTTATTATGGTTAGAAGCGTCACAAGGAAGGGGAGAATTGGGGGTAAAAAACCCAGGGCCTGTAGCCTGAAGAGGCTCGTGGGAAATCCATTCCTATTTAGGAAAAACATCTCAAGTTTTACCCTCGGGACAGGGCTGGCTCTCGACAGCCCTATAATTTGTACCAACGACTTCGACGTTCCTTTTTGTATGTACTATGACAATAGACAATATTATCAAATAAGAGGTATTGTACAAAGAAACCCATGCCTGTAGCAAGAAATGGGTGTGGAAGATACCTTTTGGACAAGAACCCTTTTATTTCCGTTGATGTTTAATGGCAACTATACTGCCAGTGCTAATGAAGCTTAATAAGGTTCGTTTTAATTGAAGAGACAGCCCTTCCTAATGAAATCACGGACATGCACCTTGAAACTCCTGGATATTCTTGTGCAATAAACTGATAATAAACAAATAAACTATGCTTGTTGGCTGAAGCCTAAACTATAAAAAGATATGAAGGGGAGGTGGTGCATTAGACAACATTGTAGTCAAAACAATTATTCCAAGTAAAGGAAAATAGCAACTTTCCAAGTGAAGAATAATAAGAACAAGACATCAGCCTTCGCGACACTTTAAATGGAGATCAAAATTTCACAGAACGATGGAGAACTCGGCTTTCTGATTTGGCAATTAATTGAAATCGTATCAAAAGTGTATCAGATAAAAAGTTTCCCTCGGCCATGAAATTTCTATGATACAATTATTTATACTTTAGAATCTGCGGCACTAAATTCTGTGGAATTAACCTCCGTACTATAACAATGTTACATCGTACCTTAATTACAGGTTGCTGCAACAGCCAGACCTAAAATAGACGCTGTGCAAATGATTGCCCGTGAAAACAGCCAAATCAAAAGCCAACTAAAGGTGTTTACATTGTCTATTCTATCGTACATTTTTCAAGCATTTCGATCATGGACAGTACCAAGCACCACTTTATGTTCTATGCACACACTTGACTGTTATTGTAATCACGTACCTTATTGCTGTTGTATTTTTTCTCGATGTAAAGATTAGAACGAAATCCAACAAGAATCCTATATCACCCCTGAGCAAACATTTTTTATTAAAACCGAGCTTATACCGCCCAGCCCTGGTAAACTCCGGAATCTTCTTTTTGACACAGTTGAAACTCGCAAATCAAAAACTCATATTAAGTTAAATGAGATTGCAAATACTCAAGAATGGAAAGCAAACTGTTTTGTTCTTGTTTTTTAATGAATTAACTTGGCTATGTTTCGTACCCAAGGCAACGTGAAACTAGTTTCAAGAGTCAAGAAGGTGGAACGTCCCGATCGTCATAATTTGACATGACAAGGCCATTCCTCTCCATCCACGAACCAAATCCCTCAGTTTCTTCTTGTTGGTAAGTATTAACAGCTCAAAGGCTAGAGTGCTCTCCTTCTACATTATTATCCTTTTTGGTAAAAAGCTCAAAGTATGTTTGAAACAGACAAAACAGGATTGCAATTAAAAGATTGTCTCCCAGACATTAAGCTAGTTAATTCTTGTGGGAATCCAGAATATCTTAAAAATTAGACTGGAAAACATTTAGCTTTTCTGTTATAGAATTTGATAGCAAGAGTCTGCCCGGGGCATAAAAAGGAGAAATACTAATTTGTCAAAAAACTTTGGTCATATCTATCATTATCTGTCTTGCGATCCACCAGTTAAGGTTGTGACACTGGCAGATGACGATCTCAATGTCATCTTAACAGAGTTATCGTTAGAGTCAATTCTTGAATATCAGTGGAAAAAATTTTCTGTTCCATGTACTATTGCCAGTGTTACGGAATACCTTGATGGCATTTTTCTGCAGATGCTTTACTCTGCCTGAAATGCCAAAAAAATTGCTGGCGTGTTTTTTCTTGAGTAAAAAAATTTCTTCCTCGTAAAGGTTTTTGTCTTAGAGATCATGATTTCAGTAAAATGTTTAATTGCATTAAAAAAACACGAAACTATACCGATTAAAATATACCAATGCCAGAGTTCTGGATACAACCAAGGATTTTTTGCAGGCAAAAGTCTGCTAGATTTGCAATTTATAAGCAAAAGTCATGGCTTGCACGTAGAAGACGAAGTACAAAAAAAAGTAATTTTTAAAATTGGCGAACGAACATTACGTGATGTTCTATCATTCAAAAAGTCTAAAAACTTGCCACAGATAGAAGCAAAATGTCAGAAGAAAACTGTAAAGGGACCAAGTGGTGATATTACGAACGAAAAAAATAAGTTTCAGCATAGTCTTTGAAGAATTCAATAATGAAAATACAAATCATGCTACGCATAAAATCAGCGAGGATTTAGGGTCATATATAGCATTATGCAGTGGCAGCATTGTTGTTGAACTTATCGGTGAATTGATCAAGGTTTGAGTTATTAGCAGCTAAGTCGTTCTATCAAGAAGAATTACAGGGAAGAAAAATTATTGTTCGCGGCTATATAGATGAAATTCTTAATAACAGCGGTATCATTGCTGATTCAGATATGATATAATTGGTCTTTTCAATCAACAATAACGAATCCTTAAGATCGGTTTTTTCTAAGGTAGCCTTCTAACCAGAACCTACTCTAAAAGGGTATTCGTTCACAGGGTATGCCTTACAATTTCTTGTGACCTATCTTGTTTTCTAATGTATCATAATAGTTTCCAAAGACAATAAGAAACTTCAGACGAAAGCTCAGACTGTCTCCTGTAATCTCAAGACATATCTCATTTTGAGCTGTAAGGATTTTATGACGAGCGGGAAAAATAGGATTTCTGACTCAGTGAGCTAATTGACACGAGCAAAAGTGTCGGATAACCCACCATGTAATTCTGTCATGTCATAGCTTACTTTAAATAATGACAACCAATGCTAAACTAATTCGTAATGTATAGCATTTGGTAACCAAAGGCCTTGACTTACAGGAGAAAATGCCGCAATTTGTCTGAGTTGATCGGTGAATGAAAACCAAGGTAAATACGCACGGGTAAAGGAAGATCCAGAAGATTAATAGATCCTGTTAACTGTGTTTGGTAGGACATAAAATACTCTTGAAAATATTTCTTCCTATCAATGCTGGAGAGCAAGTTTTTCAAGGCTTTGGCAACGATAGCCCAAAACATACGTCTTTTTCCATCTGTATATCCTACTCATAATTAAACAATTATAAGGGTCCCACTACTAACTAACTGGGAACATCTTTAAAAACTCAACACAAGACAAAATACTCAAATAAATATCAAATGGTATGAAACTAAAAATCCTCTTATTTAACTTAAAGACATAACCTAAAGAAAATATTTTCGCTTTCTTCCTATGAAATCGGTTTTGAAAATATTCTTGAAGAATTACAAGCTACCAAGGAATGAAAATACTGTACTTACCACCAATACGAGAGAGTCTCTCCACAAAATATTGCCCCTAATAAAACCAAAATTGCGGCGTTTCTCATCTTTAAAAAGGCATTTGCTCTCTGCCGCAAAATTATCTGCCAACTTTGAACTTCCAAAAAGATTTTTACAAATATTTGTTGTCACGATCTTCCGTATTTGTGTAACTGTTTGGCTAATGTGCTGGAAAACAGCGTATAAGCGAATAATTGCCAGCGATATCAGAATACAAACATTCGCAGGTCAACCCACAAACAATTACTCATATCGTTTTAAGCCGATAGTTGTAGCCCGCTGCAATTTATTATCTGAGCCAAGCGCGTTCTTTGAAGACAAGCTAGCTCATTCTTATTACTTCCCAGTTCCCAAAGCCCGCGATACGGAAGCCCCGGACCATGGACACGGAAATGCGGAACGTAGACTGAATGCTGATAAAGACATTAGAATGCGTCTGACGGTCTACGGGTTAAGCAGGGCGGTAGGAAACAGTGATTTGTGGTGCTCTGCAGCCCCTCAATTTGAATGCTATCTTCGATTTTTTATAAGAGATAGCTGAATTGGAAGCAATTGAACGAGCAGCAGATTGATTGGCAGCTCCCCCAAGCCATAGAAACTTTTTTAGGAAAAAGTAATTTTGTTGAAAGTACTTAATTCATAAACCACGAGAAATAACGTGGGAAGGGGGGGGTGGTAGGTGGGGATACGGTAACGGGGGGGGGGGGTGGTAGGTGGGGATACGGTAACGTGTTGTTTAGATATGTATTTGTCGGTCGATTGATGAAAATTTGCAGATTCCATGACAATGCCAGTTTTTAGCAAACAGTTAACTGAGACCCGAGTATTCTAGTGAGAATCCGTCCCAAATAAACTCAAGATCAATTCACTTACGATTCGTTATTGCATATAAAATATACAGCGAATCAAACACTTTTATACTGAAAATATAGTACCAGGGAAACTATTATTGATTACTCCTGTTTAAACTCTTTTGGTATCTAGGAATCATTGCTGTATTTTTCAATTTGATACGTTTTTTACTTGTTAAACACCATACTATCTTGTGCTAGTCGGATTTGAAATTTTACCGGTCCGACTATTACCCTCTCCCTGCTTTCCCTTTTATGGCTTCCGCACTCCCTTCGGATTTACAGAGTGTCTAAATCACCCAGCATGCAGTTCGTGTCTAAGCCGGGTAAATTTCACGTGCGTCGGCCTAATTTGTGTATCCTAGGAGGCAATGCCGAAGTCAACTGGCGGGTGGTCTACCAGTTTTTTCACGCCCTCCCCAATGACGGTGTAATGAAGGAAGAAAACTGTGAACATTTGGAGTTCTCCAGACCTTTCAGTTGTGCTTGGTAACGAACATTTCTATATCACGCAATTATGATCCGCTATATATCATTCTTGATTGATCACGATCAAATCTGTTTCATGATAATTTGACAAGGATACAACATGGATATTTTCGCACTTGCATCGCATACCAAACTTGTTAATTCTCTCATTCAATTGACCTCATCTGAGTATGATGTTTTTTATGGTCGGGTCTAGGCGAAAAGACAATCCTCTTAAACTTTCCGAACCCCAAGAGGCCCCAAAGTCTTTTAACCAAAATTTGTCTTTAATAGGTATAGCGTTTTTAACTACTTTGAAACCTAAAGTGCACGAATTCTTTAAGCCTCTACTGAAGAATTGGAAATGCCACAAATCCAGGTGTCATTCTGAGAAAATCAGTGCCGTCGAAACGAAATTTATATTGGGGGGGGGAGGGGGGCATTGCTTCTTAACGTTCTATTGTAGATTCCTTGGACCCCAGTACCACGACTTAATAAAAATTATTTTCTAAGGCACTTTAGTTTGCTCCTATGAAAAATAGGGTCACTACTTTCAAAGAAAAGAAGATCATTGGGCCAGAGAACAAATTGCCCCCTATTATGATAAAAGACCATGACTTAATGGTTTTTATTCCTTTACTATACAATCCTATTTCTATATTTATTTCAAGCCTTCTGCTCGTTTACCGAAGTTATGTTTGCATGTAACGTTTTCAGGCACCTTTCTTATACAAATACAGTAGAACCTTAAGGTCGTTCAACATTCTCACTAGGTTTAAAATGTGCTTCTTTATGTGGAAGTTATTCCATGAATTCTGCCTAGAATTTGTCAATAAAGATGTAGTCAATTCAAACCGGATGAAAGTCCGTTTGTCGTTGATTTTTCCTAAGAATTGAAAGCGCAGTGCATACAAGGATAAGACGCTCCGCAAATACGTTTTTCAGCTTAGTCGAATCCGAGACAAATCCTTTGCCTGACTACATAATTGTTGGCCAACCTGATTTTGGCGCCTTCAGAGTGGCGGATAAAACTTCACGTGATTCCAGGCAGGGACCTGCACACGAACGGAAAGCGAAATTATTGAAGTTTCTTGAAGCTTTCAACGGCTGTGGCTTAACGGTACTCATTCAGATTTTCCCTGTTCAAAATAATCAACCATGCAAACCATGAAAATGTACTAAGATATTTACCGTTTTCGATTATAATGATAATGCCACGAGAAAGCTTCGCACATTGAATCAGGAAGCATGCCTCAGCCCGTCACCAGAAGGGGCCTTTGCTGCGGACGTACCCCTTAGGATTCAAATACCTATTTCCTTAAAATAGGAAAAGGCACGACATTGCATGCAGCAATTAATACTAACAAGTTCCCTTCTTCAAGGGAGACGGCCCTCTTTGGAAATCCTAGCTTCAGACAACCACTACATCTTCGTAATAGTCTATGGTAGATAGAATACTTGTATTTTGCATGTCAGGTTTTCCTTCATACAGCTTGTTTCTAAGACAATTCCAGTTTCTAAACATATGGTCTAACGCAACTCAAATTTTGACTACTTGAAAACATTCGCACCATTTCAGTACAGCCTAGAACAAATAATGACGCAACTGCAAAAAAAAGGTTTTGTTGTTATTAGACCTACACACATCACGGATGGACATAGGTACAATTTTATACGGTCAAAAAGAGTGGTTAGATGATCGATTGGTTAATAGCTCATAGCATTTTAACAATTAGCTGGTGACAACCAAGCAATCTCCAATGTATTAATGGAAATGTTGCAAACATGAATGGAAAAGCATTTATTACTTTTAATGATAGTACTTCCTTTTCATCCAGTGACATGTCTTTTAAAGTATTCACTCGTTGCAGTACACGAATCAGCCTATCAGCAAATTATAGGGACACATAGTTATTCTTTTTTTAATCGTTGATCGTCGAAACGTTCTCTGCATTACCTGTACAAAGGTCAAAGAGTCCCGTTTATACTCTGGTCTTTACTTTTAATTCTATTTTTACTCACTTCTGAGACCATACACTGGTATGTTTTTCGAGCACTGCATTTCCAAGCCCTGTATGTTTTGGCTGTCATATTTCTGTGAAATATTTCTCCTGTTATTTTACCTCCCCGATAAAAGGAGGCGGCAAGCAAAGAGAGTTGAGCTATATGTTATTAAGTTAATTGCGATAAATAACAGAACGAATCCACTTAATTTTGTTTACTTTTGCAAAATGCCAAAAACAATGCCTTAAGACAACAAGAATGATAAGTCAAAAGCAATTAATTAATAAGTTAATCAAGATATTAAAGAAGCAATCAACCTTAGGGACCAAATTGGATAGAAGGGCACGGATTCCGTAAGATCGAGGTCTAGTTAAAGGAACACACAAGAGGCTCGGAATATGGTTTTGGCAAAATATAATGGGTCGAAAAATGTGTCTTATTCCCATATTTTAAACAGTATTGTTTTAGGTTTACTTTTAAGTAAAATATTTTCAATTGTCTGCTCATTTATTGACGGCAAAAAATCTGCAAACAAATAAATGACAGCCGTTTTCCTTAGGAAAGGTTGGTTCGTTCACATCAACAACAGTTGCCCCCTTTCCTGTCAACGTTGTGTGTCTTATCTTTTCAATAAGGGGCTTTTAAGAATTCTTCAAAAATGAGATTTTTCGCGATAAAGTTGCTTTTATCAGCTATTGATTTTTATCATGTTTTCATCTTAACAACAAAAATCTGTTTTTAAATGTAACCAGGTTTAATAACAATTTTTAAAATTACCAGCTGTCTTTTTGGTTTAAGCACTCTTGATAGATCCATTTAATCTCAATTTCCTTTGGTAATACGTCTTATGCTTCAAAAAAGAGCGAAAACTAGCTCAATGATCAAAACATGAATCTTGCAAAATGCTGTCGATTCTTGTCTGGGTTTAAGGAAAAAAGAACACAAATTCTGAACACCAGAAAACAAGAAAGAAACTTTAATGTCTTTTAAGCTCTTTTTCTCGAATAAGAATAATCTTTTAGGAGAAACTGTTGGTCAAATAGTATTTGATAAAAATCTTCAACTTTTTAGTGTCATTTTTACAGAAAAATTTTTGAAGTTAAAAATTTCATTGGAATGATATATATTGTTTAGTTAACAATGTTTATGGTTTAGGGGTTCACGTGTATTTGGGATGGCCCAAGGAGGATTGGGAAAGTAAACAGTAAAAGTTATCAGGGATTTGAGCGATTGAGCGCTCGATTAATTGAGATTATATTGTATTTTCATAACGGATAATCACAAAAGAATATTCCAAAAGTTCAATCACAAAAATACTCATTCTACAAAAAAGGCATGATGCAGACTTTTTAATCGAACTATGTGACTCTATAAGCAGTGCTCAAATCCTACAGCACAGTTTATGTAGCAATGTTTCTTATAAAAAAAATAAGTGCATCTACTAAAGGCTTTGAATTTCTATGATTATGGTCAAGATGTAATATGGTCCTGAAGTGCTTAGCTGGATTAGTTGTTGTTTTTTGCAATTGATATGGAATAAAACCAAAAAATTATTATGTGAATGTCAGGCCAAAACAACACGTGGGAGTAGCTTATTTTGGGTGGTCCTATTTAAAGTGAAAATTATATATATTTGTTTGATATAAACAACTATGAACAGTTACTACTGACTTTGTTTAGGCAATTGATTCTATAGAATCTGCAACAATTACTTGACAATCACAACAGCATTCACCAGGGCCTAGAAAACATGAATGTCCGTGAGGATTGCCGTAAAAACTAAAGCGCCACAACCGAATCTTCATTGTTGTCCCGAGGAAGGTTTTACACACCTTTAGGGTATTGTCCAGGGGAAGGTAGTAGCCTTTCTTGACTCTGGCATTGACTAAAGCCCATAGAAGCATACGATTGAAGATGTGAATAAAATATATAAATAAGCCACTGACTAACGAACTAAATGTTTGTTGAATTTTAGAATTATGTATTATACTCACTAAGCTGCTTAAGAATTTTTGTCCTTTCTCAGTGAAATAAATTTGTTCCAATCCAAACTGAACATTTGAAAAGCTACAATACAGTTCAGAATAACAAGGAACCCTAAATTTAATGGGTATAATTGTGTAACACATTTCTCTTGAAGGCTTTCTCCTATAAATTGATAAGGCTTTCTCAGAAAAAATGTTTTTTAATACCAAAGGACATCTGCAAACACGTAAAAACAATCCCAATCTGGAAGAGACTTGTTGTTCACTTTGAAATGCCGGGTATTTCTCTTTGAATGCTCTGTTATTTCCTTTTAATCCTTGTTTCAAGATAAAAGCACTGCAGAGAAATTTTTCTAAAAGCTAAAGCCGCTCTGCTCTCCAACTTTCGAAAGCTATAACTGGAGAGCAAACTTCAAACACTTTATAAATCAACCACTACAAAAGTAGAAAAAGGGACATATGTCAAAAATTTGACTGCAAACGTTTATTTCAGGGAGGCCCCTTGGAGCACAAATATCTGTTTCACTTTGTATGTTCATCTAACAGATACTCCTTGGCATTACCAAGTCAACATTTTAACTGTTAGATTGACTTGTGATACAGATCATCATTATTTGGCTAAGACCTTTCATAACAGAAGATAGTCCTCTGCTTCTAAATGACAATTTATTGACCTGCAAAAGAACATCTCTTTGTTCCAAACGATGTATTTTAGTTAAAAGCAGTTAGCTTCTTTTCTAGTAACGAAAACATGTTTACTGCTGAATAAAACAGAAGATATTTTCAATTTTGACATAATAACAAGCATATGTATAGAAATCACGAGTGAAAATATTTTGAAAAAATTATGGCCCGTTCTCAAGAGTAAACAATTTAGAAATATATTGGTAAGACGTAAGGCATATTTTGCTAATGGTATGACGTAGATTTGGTTTCTTTTTCATGTGACAGTAACAGCTTTTAGGACCAACTCAGTGGATGAGAAATAAACATACCATAGAGTAAATAATTATGTAAGGTAACGTTATTAGAACTATATGTCTTAAAGCAAAACCTGGACAAGTAAGTTAGCAAAATAGCTTAGGAAATGCCAGTGGGCAAGTAGGACCTCACTTTTTTTTACTTTCAGTTAGCGTTTTTCTCTCAATTTTCTTTTACTTATGTTTTATTTCTGACTATAGCAGTAAGAAAAAAACGAATTGAACCTTTTGCAGATATCTCAGAAGTGGCTGCATCGATATAACGTCTAGTATTACACTTTAATGATAATAGGGCAATAAAATCATAATAGGTTAGCTTTGATTTCAGCCAAAGAACCAGGACCTTTAATTACATTTTTTGGTGCATGGATGAGGTTGCAGCAGCCCTCAGCCCCTCATATATTCACAGAGAACCGGGATCATGCCTTGAAACCTAAAGTAGGGGATCTAGAATAGAACTGGCTATCAACTATTCACTATTAACAAAACGACATACTGAAAAGTGTGGTAGACATAACCCTATTCCCCTTTAGCTTGGCCTCTGGAATAGCCCGTACCATCAAAGATCTTGGTCGTCCATTCAAACTAGTCTGTTGTGAAATGTCTTCACAAACTTACACAGGCGGAAGGTAAGCTTTATTTAAACACGTGCTTACGCTTTCCGTTATTTCTTAAAGTTCACAACCATGAAAAAGTTAACGCTTTGTTAAATTAGTGTGATAACGCCCAATATGAACACCATGGGTAGAACTTTCCGTTGCTTATTTGGGGTATTAAACATTGAGACAAAGAAAACCAACATTAATCAAGCGATTCTTTGTTGTTAAGGCCTATGATAATGCGCAGAGGAAGTAGGAATATTGAAAGGGAAGTTGCTGAAACATTTAACGGTTCTCGCAAAAATCAAGTCTTGAATGTGGTATGGTTGACAGGGAAATAGTGGCTGATTAGGTTTGTAGATGTTGAAAGATGAGAGGCAGAGAAAAATCTATAGAGCCTAATCTTTGTGAAGCCTAAGGTAAATGTGGACATGCCTTTGAATGAATGTATTCTACAAAACACAAAAAAATTATAAAAACTTGTTTTAAAAGAGTATATCATTGTTCCATAGGTAGTTTTTTCTAATATTTTCTGTATTTTGAGAATGTTAAATATCTGAGTGATTTCATTTTTTTAGTTATTTGTACGGTAGGTTTATGTAAGATTTTAGTATGTAGTAGTGGAATGTATGAGTAAGACAAGATTATAAATATGACGGGGCAGAAGAAAAGCAGCAACGAAGAATACCACTGGTTCTCGTTCTAGAATCGATGTTCACGATTTTCAACCAAAAGTTATGTCCAAGAGATTTATGCTGTTTTTCGACTTTCAAAACGAGACTGAGGATCTCGAGGTGAAGTTTTGGCGCCATAGAAATGCTGACGAAGACAAACTAAAGTATTTTGAATTTTTCAAGAATCAATGAATCTTTCAATCGAGCTTATTCAGGTAATGAAATTATTCAGGTAAAAACAACATTCTTTAATCGATAGTATGAATAAATTTCTAGCCTTATAGTTGCTTAGAAATTGTTGAAAGCACGGTCAATTTATAAAGCCCAGAAGGAAATTCGAAGACTGATTCTCGCACGTGTCCGGTAAAGAAACTTTCAGGCAAGCAAAGTTGGTTTTAAAGTTTGTTTCATAGATGCTTTTAGAAATATATGTGTTGCCTGATGATCTCATTAACCGTGAAACTCAGAGTAGCAACTTAGAACTGTTCTGCTCTATACGCCAAATAGCGTGTGCAACTCTGCCTACCCTATACCGTATTTGCATGTTGATAAATTCTTTTCTGTTCTTGAGCAAACTATGTGAATATAAAAATTTGGAAAAATAGAGTACGTTTAATATTATGCAAAGGCCATACTTATCATAAAAATGGACAGACACACAAATAGTCTGCAGGCAAGAAAAACTGCAATCACATTACAACACAAATGTTTGGCTGAATATGACAGCTTAATGAGTTTCTCAAACACTTGGTTCCATGTTTTGCCATTGTTGAATAAACTCAGCAAACAAAGTTGCAGCATTTGCTGTTATCTGAAGAAAGCACTCAAGAGAAAACAGTTTGGTGAAGAAAAATGGCTTATAAGAAGGGCTGGGTAAATATTGTAGAGAAATTACAATATAAATATATTTACATATTCAAAGTAGGGGATAATTTGAGATAAGAAAATAACTTGTAAAGACTTTCTCCAAACTTAAATGAAATTATAATTATTATCAAAACGAATTAGGTATTGTACAATAACAAGTATCAATTGTTTTTGCACCCTTATTCTCATCCTAATTACACTAGTTACTCTTTACCTCCTGTTAAATGTTGTTAAATGATAAAATCTTAACTTTTACCCCATCTTAAAGTTTTAAAGAAAATAATAAGTCATTATGACACTACAATCATTGAATTGAAATGATCATCAGCTGTAATTCCTTCTGATTTATGTTCAGTTATAGATGACAAATTGGTACTAGCATGGTTTCCATTCTGTTCAAAATTATTCTCAGTCACAGAGTTATTGGGTATTGGCCCTATCACATATCTATGACCTGTGTCCAAATCTTCCTGGAGTTGGACACCAACTAATTTTCCTTTTAGTAACTTGTCACTCAAGCATGGTGGTGGAGGTCTTCCATGGAAATCTGTCATATACATTGTTTTACCATTCATTGATTCATCAGTTTTGAAAACTGTTGCGACTGGTTTGAATATCCTAGCTGGGGCTGTGTTGAATCTTTTGAATGATTCATGGTGCTCTGAGTTTGCATCAAACCTGCCTTTTCTTGGGGACAATGACACCAGTTCATCTTGCATCTTTACAGGTAAAGCTGGAAGGGATCCCCATTGCTTGAAATCAGCTGCATAGTTGCTCATTCCTTCAAATAATCCATCCCTACCAGTTCTCAGTTTTGTCTTCGGCCTTGCACTTTTAGCTGGCTTTGCCTCATGCCCAAAATATTTGTAATCCATAGATGTTGATTTAAGATACATTTCACCAGTAGGTTGTTGAAATGCTTCTTTGGCCTTTGTTTTTAGAGGAGCAACTGGCCATGTTCGAAAGTCTTCCAAGTTGGTTGTTGTGCGCTCCATCTTCTCATTTGTTTTGAAAACAGTTGCCAAAGGTTTCATTATTTGTGCTTTTGAAGCATCATCATGCTTTTTGTAATCTGTATGCATCAAAGAATTTCCAGCAAAAGGGCCAGATGGTTGCTTATATTCATCACTTCGTCTCACAAGCTCATTTCTTTTGAGACTATGCTTCTTAAAATCTGTCTTATGTGATGTTTCAAATTCCATAGGAAGCTCTCTTGCATTTATTTTATCTGGCTGCCTTCCAGTTGACCTCTTTGGCTCATTAAACCTGATGAAATCTGACCTATGAACACTTGTGTGCATAAATGGACTATTTGGTGGAACATACTTATTTCCTCTGGATACTGGAAGGCATCTTGTTTGCTCAGTATGAAACCTAAAGTCATTCCTATTTGTTGTCTTGCTTTCAATTTTACCCGAAGGAAGTCTTTGTGTCACAGTCTTCAGGAATGCTGGCATTTTTGCAGGGGCTGCAATTTCCCCCAAGTAATTGGAATGATATTCTGAATCAAATTCAATTTTCCCACTGAGAGGTTTGTACCTTTCAGGCTCTTTAACAGCCCTTTCTGGCATTTCATGGGTAATAAAATCATCTTTGCTTACAGTATTGAATTCCAGTTCCCCCTGTGACTGCAAAAGATCTTTTGGTTTGTAAAATGGGCCTCGTTTTGTGCTGCCTCTTTTAAATGTGTCTCCATACTCTGTAACTTTGCAGTTTTCAGTTTTTGTCTTATTTATAACTCTTGACTGATCTGATGGCAGATGTGGACATCTATGCTTTCTGTTCAATAAGATACAATCAATTAACTGAGGAAAGTTTTAAAGTGAGAAAATTCAAATTTATGTTGTTATATTTTGATATCTTTATCACACATCAATAATTACATCTCACAGATATTCAAACACCCCACAAAAATTTTGCTATACCATAAATACATATATTGTGAAAAGCCTGTCACAAATTTGTAAGGTCCTTGGACTGGCCAAGATATCCCTCCTGACAGAATTCCTAGGCGAAAGCCATAAGATCAGACAGTGCTTAGCACCGCACAACAGTTTGTATCAACATTAATCAGTCCGCATGCATCAAAAGGCAATTTAATTTTATGAGAAGCGATACCACGGTAATTGATCTCGATGCACAGTTTGATCTTATGACTTGCAGTTTGATTGTTTTTGCTAGATTAGTTAAAATGTGAGTTTGGTCACAGCGAAAGACAGGTGGCCTACTCTGATTTCTAATGAACCAACGCGAAAATCAAAACCGCAAATTTATCGAATGATCCTTACCCACAGCTGCATATCTGACAAATACACTTCTTTCCCATGGCGCTTATAAGGATGACAAATTCATTACTCCAAATCTAAAGATGAAGTTCACTTCCCTTTCGAACCATGCTTGAACATGTAATGGCTTCTGTTCCGCTAGCAACATAGCAACACAGCGCTGCATAGCAACAGTGACCTTTGCAGTCAAGCAATGTGCGCTATTCAAGAAAGAGGCGGCGTTTTGTCTTCTGAAAACCCGAACAATGGGATTCCGTTAGTGGTAAATTACAGAACAGTCTGGCTTTTGGCTTCCAAGCTCTCACTCTGAAACCAAATCAAGGGCCTCATGTTACTTAAGCGACGACAAGTGAGGGGGCTCGGGGAGAGCTAAAGTTCTTCCTCATTATTTGCTGTCTTAATTCTGTTTAACAAGTAATTTTCAAATTTTGACGAGTTTTTGACCAATAATTATATATATCGATTATATGCCAATAATTATATGATATACATATATCGATTTTAAACTCTGAAGCATGTCAGACGAAAAGCTTTAGCTTACTCAAATGTTTAAATTTCTGTTCTTTATTACATTAGCAATTTTTTTGTAAATTATGTTGTTGAATGAAAATGAAAATGCAAATTTTTAGCTTGAACACACTCTTGCCCCGAGAACTTCCTTAAGGCTGAGACGACCACTGCATATCATGTCATGTTGTTGCATATCATACCAAGAAGAAATATTGTTGAATTTGTTCAAGTACCAAACAGGGACCGAAGAAGCGGAGGGGGGCTTTAGCAAAAATGAACTTAAAGCCATAAAAAATCGTCCTGCTCTTGGTTTTTAGCATGCTCAGCCCCCCAAAACGCTTTAGCCCCCTCCATCTGTAATATGATCCCCAGTCCTTGTTACCAAATAAAGACTAATTAAGAATTTTGCTTGAACATGTCGTCAAAACTAGCCAAATTTGATTGATTACTGACAGCTGAAGACAGGTTGCTTGAATGACTAAAAGTTGCTTTACTTTTGATTTTCTATGCGCCTGCCACAAGTGTTTCTTATGACTTATTATGGTCTCTGTCATTTGATTGAGATGGCGATTATCTCCTTTTGTTTTTTGTGTAGGAGAAAAAAAATTCAAACTGTACAAGTTAGAAGATGTTATCGTATCATCGACGTCATTCATCAACGCCAACACAACATATTTTCTATCATAATGCTTCAAATACGATTCTAGGAAATCATATTCAGTAAAGATCTCTAGTTAGATGATTTTGAAATGCCACAGGGAAAAAAATTTCGCAAGGAAGACGGAGTGGAAACTGGGCTGGTAGTTAAATAATGTTTCTATCGAAGTAAAAATCTTAAGAAATTTAGTTTTATCTTGATACTAGGTATTTCTTATTTAAGGATGCTGTTCTGCTTGCTACACTCTATTTTTATAAAAATAATTAAATAAGAACACTAGACTCAAATATGGTCAAAAGTTAAGAACAAAGCAGGTTAAAAAACTGAGGCTGAGCTACTGTGAAATGTTATTTTGAACAATGTTTTAACTCAGGAACGAGGAGCTTTTTCCATCTAGGGGTGCTTTTTGGTGAACTTTCAAACTTTTCAGCAAAGAAAAGATTTCTCACTTACTTTGCTGAAAAACAAGGCATAAACACCTCTCTAGAGCACACTATCTAGGAATTGCACTGCATACACCCTTATAATTAATTAAGATATTTAAATGCAAATTAAGAATAATCAAGCCTCAAATTTTCGAAAAAATTAAGAAGATCCAGCCTGAATTAAATTTTCTGGCTTTTTAAAAAATACCCAAGCTACCTTTCCCTCTCAACGCCCCTGCTCGGTAGAGAAAAGTTCTTCAGTATCCCGACCTGACTGTAGGCACCAGTTTTGTAAGAGAAAAGGACTAAACCAAAAGGTAAGTCATCATTTGACTAATATATATTTATCAATAGAACTGCTAAGGATTGTTAGCATTAATCTCAATTTATTTCACAGGAAAGGTGCAAATCAAACATATTTGAAGTTGTATGAATCCAACCTATTCCATGCTTTTGCTACGATCTGAAGTTATTTACCAGAGGCGTGTTGGATCAAGAATTAAGAGGTAATAATATATATTTGCAATATTAATTGAGATGTAGTATTGTCATGCTATTAAATAGCGCGATATGGCTCCAGAAAATGGCTCCTGGGCTATGCATGACGCCAGTAACCTCTTTGGGCATGCTTCTACCAAAATATTATAGACCTTTATATTTATAATTTGATATTTTTTTCGTCGGTTACAAACTTTGCTGTTTCAATCTTGTTCACCAGCAGAAAATTTCTTTTATGCAAAGTTGCATCTAAAACTTTATATTTTGATATGCCCGTGTATTTAAACGATTTCTTTCATAAAACCGCTTAGAGTGTCAACGAATCTGAACTGAACTTTTAAGAGCTAAAATAGCTGAAGGCGATTAAAATTGATAAATTTTGTCTTTTTATAATGTACCAATTTCTAGTAATTTTAAAAGTTTTGAGTCGTAGAAAATGGAAATGGTAGCTATGCAATCACTATTTTACTAGATTTGTTTCCTGTATCACCAACTAGCCAACTTTGGCTTTCCCTGTCGATGCCTTCTTCGGTTGCAAATAACTATCATTAGGGAGCTCTATAGGAAAGGACCTTTGGAATTTGTTGTATGCATGTAATTTTCAGTGTCAACTCATAAATGGCCAAGCATCATTTTGCTTCAGCCAGCAACAGCATTGATTATTCACAATCTCACCAGAAACTTGAAAAACCATGTACTTAAAGTGTACTTTTTGCATAGCTTTTGTAGACTATATTGCACAGGCGCAATTCATCAGTACATACTACAGATCCATTATCGTAGAAACCGAATCCAATTTATAGCCGTAAATGATTACTGAATAGATGGTAACTGAAAGGTGTTAGTGGAAAATGGTCCATACAGAGCCGGATACCTCAACTCTCCCAGCATTAGTACAGACCGTCTGTACTTAAACAAGTTTTATCAAATGGTATATGTGTTGCAAAATTTACTTTGCTTAAATAGCTTTGAAAGGGAGATTTATATTAGGTCACATGAACTATCATGCACAAAGGAAACTTTGTTATTAATCTTATTTTTTGAAACCTGCATATAGCCTATGGTTTATGCCTGAGATGAATTCCAACTAATATTAACAGAACTATTAACTATGCCGATCTAGAGGTGGTGAACACGATCCTATTGAGGGATACATTTCACACACCAAGTCATTTGGTTAGAGGATAAAACATAAATCCCATCTAATTTCCACGTGTCACGTGCTTCCGAACAATCTCCACTGTTGGGCTTGTAGGACGTACCGGATCTTACCAGTTTCCTGGTAAAAGCTTAATAATGGCGGAAAAGGCCTCTTTACTTTATAGCACTGTATGTCAAGTTTGCTAAACGCAAAATCTCTATACAAATTTACTCATCCCAGTTTGACCTTGTTTTAGTGGATGCAGGCTTAACCAATCAGTTTTTTAAATCCTAACGGGAAGGACAAGCTAATAGGTAACATATAGTACTTTGATTTGTTTGCCTTTGGCGCCAAATTGTAGCGTTTGATAGACAGGCTTTGCAGAATACAGTGTGTCATTGTGTTGTTGGAAATTAATGTTTGAAAAGCAGCATGGATGGCTTTTCTTTATATCTGTGTAAAAGATTGTATTACTCTTCCCCTGAACTCCTTCACCACAAAGACCAAGATCCCCACTTTGTTTGGGGGGCCAACCGTGATAAATAAGTGTAAAAACAGCAATGTTTTACAAAATATAAGTATTTTACTTATACCAGTTAAGCTTCTTGGGCGGCCAAGGCTCCCCCGGCCCCCCGGTATCTCGGTCCTTGCTTCACCATTTACAAATGTATCATGGACAATATGGATAGTTGGAAAAGCACGGACAGGAATAGGCGTTATGTTATAAGAAAGAAGCACTTTCCAATTAACCTACCCGATTCGTATCACTGGTATCTCCTGGTTCTTTTGTCTTTGTATGATTCAAAGGCGAGACAAGTGAGCTCATCGTTGCTAGTTGTAGGATTTATCAGATTTTTGTTCCACTTGAATACTTTTTGAAATATAATAGTTCGAGTTTGGACGTTGAGGACTTCTTTTTGAAATATAATGCTAAGCATCAATAGAAAATCATTCTATTCTGAAACGGTCATAAATTCTGGAACGGTCTCATTTGACATGTAGCCTTTGTATAAGAGTTTTTAAAAGAGGACCAGGGTTAGAGACAAACAAAGTCTCTAATGAAATCAGGTGCCTAAAAACTTTCATGCTCGACGACTGAGTTGACGGATAAAAGCTTCCGGGTAGTCATGCTCCTAAAATTTCTTGTTTTCAAAAGTGGATTGATTAAGAATTTTTGGGCCTTATTGATCGATTTGCCCCCCTCTCCTTTCCAAAAGTCACCCGTCTGTCTTGCATTGAAATAGATAAAGGAAGAGCCTTTTTCACGACTTGAATCGAGGTTTAACAATTTTGGCAAAGATTTATGGAGCACAGGATATACATTTTTGGCCTGAATTTCCGAAATATACATCTCCTCAAGAATTTCCTTTCCTTTTAGCGGGATACCACTCTTGTAGCAGGAACCTACAAGCCTCTAAATACATCCTTCACCATGTGCTTGGGCGTTTCAAGCAAAATGAAAAGATGATATCATTAATAACAGCTTGATATTAAAACGGTTAAGCAAGAGAATTTGGTGCTGTCTTTCAACATTTTGTTGTTGATAGAGGGGCGTATCATGAGCTCATTGCTTTATTTCTCTCTCTTTGGCTTTAGTATTAAGAACAAGAATGTGCTAAACACCATTAATAAATGTAGTTGAATTTGGTAGCAAATTCGATTTGTCAGCTCAGCTCTTCAACAGACGCCGAAATACGTCTTTAGAGAATTTTGGGAAAAGCAATTTCCATATTTACGTTTTACCTCAAAGCAGGATATCAGTTGGGGGAAATACGTAGAAGGAGCCATTGAATATGGTCTTTAGTTGACAATAGAAGTATTTGTAGCTAGGTGGGCTGGTTTCTTTAGTAATGCCCAGATTTATATGTTTTCAAACACCTTTAATATATATTGACGTAAACAGTGAATTAAGAATCAGTGTGTTATAGTTT